GTAAATCAGAGTTTTTGAATTTGTCAGGAAGCTATCAGTATGTCTAAACACTTCCCAAGTGCTTCCAATGTGCAGGCAAATTGAGAACCAGTGATCTAGACCAGCAGTTCTCCACCCTGGTTGCAAATTAGAGTCCCATGGGGAGCTTTGAAAGCTTATTCCTGCCAGGAGCTTCACCCCAAGCCAATTAAAGCAGAATATCTGGGTGTGAGGCCTGCCTGCCTTCCTCCCTTCCTAGTTTTCCATTTTTTTCTAAAGTTTAGCCAGGGTTGGGAATTGCTAATCTGGACTTCAGTATACCCCTATTATATCACTAGAGGCCCAGTGCATGAAATTTGTGCATTGGGGACGAGGAAGGGGGGGTCCCAGCCTGAGCCCCCTTACAGTCCAGGAGCTCCATGATTGATCCCACCAAAGAGGTAGGCCCCGCCCACCCACCACCCCACAGAGAGAAACCCTGCCCACCTGCCGCAGTGGGGCAATCATGGGGTGATGGCGGGGGCCCCCAACCAATCCCATCACACCCACCTTGGCTGGCCTGGCGCCGGTACATGTCAGTCTGGTTGTCTATGGTTGTTCGCTGTTCGGCCATTCAGCCAATTTGCATATTATGCTTTTATTATTATAGACTTCTATTCCAAGTAATAAATCCCTTCTCATTTTGAACAAAACATATTGGGGTAATTATATGTTCCCCTCTTTTTGAAAACTAGAGGGGACTGGCCTGAATAACCTGGGTGGGGGGAAGGGCAGGGAACAAAACTTCTCTAAAATCACCCCGAGCAGCACTTCTTAGAGCCGCTCTGGTCCTCCTCCAGAAGTTCTGAGGGGAGCTTTGGAATCTGTGCTTCAACAAGTCTCCAGGTGATTGACGCATGTTAACATTTGAGAACAACTCACTAGTAGGGGTGTCAAACTCAATCAGAGAAGGGGCCAAAATCTAAAATCCAGCCTAAATCGCGGGCTGAATGGTTTACTGAACAGTCATAAACTGTCATTGTGATGGAAACGCAGCGGAGTGCAGTGATGACAGCGCGGTGCGGGCCACATTGCAAGGCCTGGCGGGATGGATTTGGCCCGCGGGCCTTGTGTTTGACACATGTGCACTAGAGAGATAGCAATGGGGAAATTAAGATCTTGCTCTCCCATTTATCCACCTCTTTATTATTATTTTTATACACTTTTCCACACGACCTCTCAAAAGGAAGACTATGGCAACAGCAGAAGCAACGCCAGAGCCACCAGGTTTAATGCCAAGTGAGTCAGTGTGAGATGGCACAGTCAAACCTCTAGCACCCTCTGCTGGGTATGGACTTCCTCCCTGACATTTCATTTAGCCTTAACTCGTGATTTTTGTGTACTTACCAGGATAGCCACAAGCAATCCCCAAATTCTAATAGCCATGAGCATTTAGTAGATGCTCGAAGATGGCACAGCCACCCGGATATGATTAAAGCACGCTGGGAGGCTCTGGGGCTCCTGTTTTCCCATCTTCTGTTTTCCATTTCCTCACCAGATGGGGTCACATACACTCCGATTTTTGTGCAAGTCACACACTTGAGCCTGTGCAACCAGAGATTGGGAAGGAGGCCCTGACTGATGGAACCCATCAGTATTTTATCAGAACAGAGCCTTCCTCTCAGCCTGGAGACCAACAAAATAGGAGCAGCTCAGTTTTTCCCCAAGAACCTTTTATCAAGGATGAGCCCTTAGGGCCCTTTTGAATGGAACTAGAGCACTTAGGAAATGTGAAGGGACACCTGTAAAATGAGCAATCCCTTTGGTAGCGCTCTTAGCAGGAAGGGAAGCATTTTATTGAGTACATACTAATTCTCAGGATTTTACATGCACAATTTCACTCAATCCCCACAACACTGTGAAGTTAGTAGTATTATTCCTACTTATATAAATACAAACATATAGGAAACAAATTCAGGGAGTCTGAATGTCATTCCTGAAACCCCAAAGCTGATAAAGTAAGATTTCCCCTCTCACTGTTAAGCCCTCAGTCCACTTGGGTGTGGCTTTGCCATCCACACCACACACAAATGCCAGCTAGCCCTGGCTTGTTTCTACCATTGCATTACACTTCCTGATATAAATGGTGAAAATGGATACAATTTTCAAAAGAAGCCAGTATAAATATGTGCTGGTTTTAATAGGATGCTCTATAAAAATCAAAAGTGTGAGCAAAAAATACTTTATGAAGGGAATCCTAGATGTAATGGCATCAGAGAGCACCCGATTTCTAGTACTCTCTTGAATTGGTTTTCCCATTGTTCTGCTGTCCAACTTCCGACCCTGTCAAGAACCTTCATGGATTCTCCAGCTGAGCTGGCCAGGACTAATGCACACCCTGCGGGAACCCCTTTCATGTCCCGCAAGGTACAGGGTTCAGGTTCAGGGTTCAAGTTCTGGGGGAGGCCGCACACACAAGAGACTAGAAAAGTATTCACTGTAAGAAGTATGTCTAGAACTCCAGGACATGGCTCCTCTGCCCTTTACCCCCCACCTCTGTAATGAAATGGGGAATCCTCTTTCTTTCTACTCCATCCAAATGGAGAGGGGAAAAGGGGCTTGGACAAGACTGGGATGAGGATGTAGATGGAGGACAAAGAAGTGGAGCTGAGGGGAAATGGGCCTCTCTGAAACAAGATTCAAGGAATTGTGGCTGTCAGGGTTTCTAGCTGAAGTATCTCCAAAGGCTCTTGGCTGGATCCCCAGTCACTACCACTCACTTACTTCTGAGACTTACTGCCATTAGCAGCTTCTGAACAGAATTTATCTCTTCCTCTGGCAACTGAAGGAGAATTCAGACTAACTTTTCATCTCTTCACATATAGCTTTACACACACACACACAGCAAAAGAAAAACAAAAAAGTAGAACACATACATACACACACAAACACAAAAAAACAAACAAACATCAAAACACATGTCCTTAAAGGATTTTTTGTTTTGTTTTGTGTTGCATTAGTAGCAGTAGTAGCAGTATTTTAAGGATGTGTATTCTGTCTAGCAGTGGGAAAGTGTTAGAGACTGGTGTTATTTCATGTAAAGAGAGAAAGACATTTTCCCTATCCAAGTTTTTCTTTGGGGATATCTGGGGTAGGAGATTAATCTGCAACTCTTGCTCACCTGGGTATTTCATTGCTGGAGCTGCGAGTTAAAGAGAGTTAATTTGGGGTCAACATTGGGAAATAGGCTGGAAGCTGCCAAGACTAATATTACGGTGGATGGGGGCTGAGAAGAGCTATGGGGGAGTGTTATTCCCTTCCTCAGCCTCCAGACCTCAGCCTGGACCAGCTGGAGAGGGTGAAAGACAGTGGAGGTGGGGATATCTGCCAAAAAAGGGACAGGAAAGAAGGGAAATCTTAAGTCAAGAAATTGGGAGGGAATTCCAACAGCCAGACTCTGGGGCAGAAGGTGGGAGGTTTGGCTTCTCCTGCACATGGGAGGGGGGGAAGGGGGAGGAGAATGTGGAGGGAGGGAGATGAAGTTAAGTGACCTAAAAGGCTGAGCAAAGTCAGGCTTGTAAGGCCAACTGCAAAGCTTGCTTCTGTACCTAACATGTATTCCATCTGCCGGTAGAAGCACTAATAAATGTTACATGTTGAAACTGCTGCACAAGCTGTGCACAAAAATTCCATATGCCAACTGACTGGACTACATGAACACATCTGTCAAAAACAGGTCTCTTAGGCATAATTTAGGATGTTCCAAGTCAGCTTTATAATTGTTTCAGCTTCCAGCTGGTACGAATTAACTCTCATAAGCCAGGTCTATTCTCACCAAGTAAAGAATTGGGCCAAATGTCCAAATAATTAAGTCAGAAACACTCTTTTTCTTTATTATAGAAAGTATCAGTAGCAAGGCCTTTCCCCCCTCAAAATTGTGCTGCTGATTGACTCGGTGTTAGATGTCACATTACTCACTTGTTAATCTATGATTCTGCTACTCCAACAACAATTACAATTTAGAATGTACGTTGACATGTATTAGGTGGTTAATCTCATTTCAGTTGAAAAGTCAGTATGTGAGAATGACTGAGATAGCCCTGTTCTCCCTACAAAGGAGGATGCATAGAGGAAGAATGCAATTCTCCCCTTTAGGGGGAAGCTTAGATGTAAACATCATGTGTAAGTCTGGGCACATATATAACTCTGGGAACTGGAAAATTTGTTTCTTCCTTTTTCCTTATTCTGATTTTTTTGTTTATGCTCTTACTAGAGACCCATTGCAGGGAGATTCCTACAATAGGGCTTCCTGCTTCAGTCGCTGCCCTGCCTGCTTGCCTCCCTTCTCCCCCACCCCACCTGCTTTCCTCCCTTCTCCCCCATCCTGCCTGCTTGCTTCCCTGCAGCTTGGCTTCTTTCTACACCACATGTGTCAAACACAAGGCCCTCGGGCCAAATCCGTCCCGCCAGGCCTTGCAATGTGGCCCGCACCGCGCTGTCATCACTGCACTACGCTGCGTTTCCATCACAATGACAGTTTATGACTGTTTAGTAAACCATTCGGCCCGCGATTTAGGCTGGATTTTAGATTTAGGCCCCTTCTCTGATTGAGTTCGACACCCCTATTCTACACTGTCTTCAAGTCTTTGCTCTGGCCTGGTTATGCAAATTAACCTCAATCTTGGTTGGGTTAATTTGCAACTCTCCCTGACTGGCTGGTGGGCGGGGCTTGTGGGCATAGGGAAAGTGCGGTCAATGTGCATGTTTCTCTTTTATTAGGTAGGATTAACTTTTTAAGGAAATCTTTAGAAAAGGAAGTATAAAGAATGACTGAATGCCCTCACTGGTTTGGCTCAGTAGATAGGGTTCTGGGTTTGATTCTGGTCAAGGGTATGTACCTCGGTTGCAGGCTCCCAGACCTGGTCGGGGGTATGCTGGAGGCAATCAATCAATGTGTCTCTCTTACATCAATGTTTCTCTCTGTCTCTCCCTCTCCCTTCCACTCTCTCTAAAAATCAGTGAAGGGGCCCCAGTGACCGAGCCGCCGCCGAGGACTCAGCAACCTCCCCCTCCAGGCCCCCTCGCATCCCGAAGATCTGTCCCCCCTGCCCGCCTTCTCCCGCCTCCGCCGCCGCAGCCTTCCGCAGGCCGTTTCCACCGAGGAAAAAGAATCGTATTGTATGTCCGCTATCCAGAACCTCCGCTCTTTCGACCCCTTTGCTGATGCAAGTAAGGGTGATGATCTGCTTCCCGCTGGCACTGAGGATTATATCCACATAAGAATTCAACAAAGAAACGGCAGGAAGACCCTTACCACCGTCCAAGGGATCGCCGATGTTTACGATAAAAAGAAACTAGTGAAGGCTTTTAAGAAGAAATTTGCCTGCAATGGTACTGTAATTGAGCATCCAGAATATGGAGAAGTAATTCAGCTGCAGGGTGACCAGCGCAAGAACATATGCCAGTTCCTCGTCAAGACTGGACTGGCTAAGAACGACCAGCTGAAGATTCATGGGTTTTAAGTGCTTTTGGCTCAGAAGCTTAAGTGAGGATTTCTTTGCAATGAGTAGAATTTCCCTCCTGGCCCTTGCCACAAGTTTAAAGACTTCACAGCTTGTATGATGTAACCATTTGGGGTCTGCTTTTAACTTGGAATAGTGTAACTCCTTCATGCAATAAACTGAAAAGAGCCAAAAAAATAAAATAAAATAAGAAAATAAAAAAATAAATAAAAATCAGTGAAGGAAATATCCTTGGACGAGGGTTAAAAATAAATAAATAATTTAAAATGATCAATGGAAAAATATCCTTGGATGAATAATAATAATAATAATAAGAAGAAGAAGAAGAAGAAGAAGAATGAATGAAATAACAGAATCAGGAACTTTAAATGTCTTGGCATGATGGAACAATGGGAAGTCTAACACAATGAAATGCAGCCAGCATGAATGCAAATCACACCCAGGTCTCAGTAAACCAGAACTGGATTGAGAAGAAATTCAGCATATCAAGAGGATGTGTGAAGAAAGACTTGGGGATTTCAGTTCACTACTCATTAGACATCAGCAAGTCATTGAGGCTGCCCTGGTGATGTCTGAGACTATGCTGATATATGAATTCCATCCAAAACAGGGCAAGAAATCCTCAACTCTGATTCAGATACTATGCTCAGATACAGATTTCTCATGTATACTAATAAAGGGGTAATACGCAAATTAGACTGGGAGACCTTCCGGACGTCCTTCCAGACAAAGTCATGGTGGCAGGGACGAGGCAGAGGCATGAAATTCAACATTTTTAAGTGTAAAAATATCTATGATGTTAACACCTTCAGAAAATTTGATATATGAAGTTTTGAAGCTTGTTGTCAATACAACAAAATAGCATACATATCAAATCACTTATATATCAACATATGTGTAACTCCATCTAGTGGGGGGGGAAATCCGCATTATTAACCAATACATTTGTAGGAAGAAAACAACAGAAGAATAAAAGTGCTGAATGAAATATAGTACAAGCAGAGAAAGTATTTCTTCCATGTTTAACAAAACATGGAGTGAAGGCAATATATATATATAGGTTCAGATACATACAGATAGATAGATTTGGTAGGGGGGAAGATGAGGCTGTTTGTGCCTATTTTCAAACCTTTAACTCTCTAAGCCTCAGTTCCCTCACCAGTAATATGTTGAGTACCTACTTCATAAGACTTCTGGGACCCAAATACCATACCAAAGAGCCAACTCTGAATATTAAATTGTTAGTAATATTCCTAGTTCAAGTCTCCATGAATTCTACAAAATTACCAATCTCTCATTTTGCATTTAACAAAATACCACAACTAAAAACAACTATAATGAAGGTAACTTAATGGGATTGAGGTTGTCAGGGAAAGCTTTCCTGAGACATTTAAACTGAAAGCTAAGTAAGGTATACACATTAACTTGACAAAGGTGGAGTGTTAGAAGAGTTTAAGGATGTTTAGAAACAAGCAAACAGAAGTCCATTGTGCCTATCAATCAAGAGCCACTACATGAAGCAACTAAAGGCATGGTAACATTTATCCTCAGTGATTTCCAATATCTCTTGTGGGTCAAAATAAGACTCTTAAGAAATGAACATATAAAAATATTTTAGCTCTTACTGAAAGACTCAAGTCCAACTAAGACATGAAAACAATATATGGACTTTGATTAAACCATAAACTATAAACCAAGGAGGGAAATAGGTTTCTTGTTTCTTGCCTCTTCTATTGACAAGGCTATGTTGAGTGCTGAGTAAATGATTCTTAGGCTTATTCAAGATCAGCAATAAAGGGTGGGGCCAGTTACCCCTATTTGCCATAAACACTGGAAGCTCACAGGAAATAACACATAAATTACTCTTTTTGCCATCCCTGAGCTAAGATAGCAACTTAGTAACTAATTTTAGAGTAAAAAAAAACCCAACACCTTTATATAAAAAATGCTTTATATATTTAATATTATATTTAATATTTATAATATACTAGAGGCCCGGTGCACTGGGTGGCGGGGGAGGGTCCTTCTGCCCAGCCCATGCCCTCTCATAGTCCGGGACCCCTTGGGGGGATGCCTGACTCCAAGGAGGCGGGAGAGGCTCCACCTCCCCCCCCTCTGTGCTCACCAGCTGTAAGCCCGGATTCTGGCTGAACAGCCCTCCCCCTGTGGGAGTGCAATGACCACCAGGGGGCAGCTTCTGCATTGAGCATCTGCTCCTGATGGTCAGTGCGCATCATAGCTATAGGTCATTTGGTCGATTTGACTATTAGCCTTTTATTATATAGGATACTTGTTATTTAACATTAGCAGAAGCATAATTCTGCTAAAAAATTAGCATTCACAAAATAAGCAGAAGCAGCTGAAGAAACCAGAAATCAAAGTATTTTCTTACTATTTGGGAACCTTTCATGATTTTCCACATAGTGCAAGTTTTAAGTTACAAAAGAACGCCTGGCTGGTGTGGCTGTGGACCCATGACCAAGGTCATGAGTCCCATATCTGGTGGGGGCACATGCGTGGGGTTTCCAGCTTGATCCCCAGTAGGGGGCGTGCGGGAGGCAGCCCATTGATGTTTATCATCAATGTTTCTATTTCTCTATCTGCTCTTCCTTCCTCTTGTGTCTAAAAAACACATTTTTTAAAAAGTTACAAAAGAACAATAGACAAAAGTGGAAACCAAAGGGAAAAAAAAATAACCTGGAATATTTCCTGAAAACAAGTGTATAAAAAGTGAATCAGAATCTTGTGTTTATGTAAATATTCAGAAAACATCACATAACTAGGAAGCTAGTGTAACATGAGGGGGGGGGGGGAAACTGCTTCTGAACAAAGATCAAGTTTCAAAAAGGGGTGTATTTCTATGTATTTTGTAACATTTCTACAGTACTGAACAATGTTGGCAGTCATTTTGACCTTTATTGTTAGGACAGTGACACACATTTCTTAACAATACAAAACCCTTTTCTGTGCTACACTTGATTCATATTTAATAACAGAAGAAACACTGTTTTTTTGAGAAAATATCAACTGTTACAATTATCTTTAAAAAGTACTCACAGTTTAAATAGATTTAAATAAACTTTTCCAAAACAAACAAAAAAAAAGCACCTACACATTTTCTTGTTGCATAAATTGTATTTTCTCTAGCGAAGATTTTGAATATGCAAAGGCTTTTCATAGCTAAGACCACAAAAAGGCTGAATAGAGAGCATTTTTACTTACTACATTTCCATTTTTAATGCCGGTCGTTTTATTTTAAGGCTGTCTTAAAACTTGTCCTGGAGTTTAAAAAAATTTAAACTCACACCAGTTTAGCCTCTCCAAACACCTGGGCTTAAATTCTTGATTGACTTACTAGTTAAGACAGGTAAAATTTGTTCAACTGTGACTCGCTAGTTGTCAAGTCCATGCCAACAGGTATCAAGTATCTGTTAGACTAGAGAAGTAAGGTAATCACTCACATACCCGGGTCTAAGGCGATTAGCCACCTGATATGGGGCGGAAATGCACATTAACCGGTCCCACCCCAAGTCGACTGAATTCCTTTCTGAACAGGTTTCTCAGATTTTTCGGACCCTGGTCCTGCAACAGACCAAACCACCTAGCCTTAAAAAGCAAAATTAGCTTCATTAAAAAAATTTTTTTTAACATTTTTTAAAGAAAAATTTTTCATATATTTTACTGACTTTTTACAGAGAGGAAGGGAGAGGGATAGAGAGCTAGAAACATCGATGAGAGAAACATCGATCAGCTGCCTCCTGCAGGCCCCCTATTGGGGATGAGCCCGCAGCCAAGGTACCTGCTCTTGACCGGAATCGAACCTGGGACCTTTCAGTCCGCAGCCTGACGCTCTATCCACCGTGCCAAACCGGTCAGGGCAGCTTCACTGTTTTTAACAAACTATTTTGGTGAAAAATGCTCATTCGGGCCGGTGGGTAATTTCTAAAACTTTCGGGGTCACCCAGCGAGCCCAGAGCAAAAAGCTGGGCACCCCAAGCGTTTCTGCAAACCTGAGATCAGGACTCGGAGGGAGACCGGGCCGGCTTACTCAACGCTAACTGAAGAAGAAACTGTCCTCCCTGACCCCCTGCGCGGCTTTCCCCGGGCCTCATGGCGGCGCCTCCAGCCCCGCCTTTGGCGTGGCCGCCGCCCGGACAGCGCCGGCCGCGAAGGAAAGAACGTCCACGCGCGCGAGAGTCACAAAACCCCGCGTCCTGGGGCCGCGCGTGCGCAGCACAGCCCCGAGCTCGGGCCAAGTCCGTTTCCTGGCTTCTCAAGGAAGTGGCCTTGCGTCACTTCCGGCTTCCCTCTAGCTGCCATCTTGCGTCCCCGCGTGTGCGCGCTTATTCTCAGCTGGTCTGCCCTAGACCCCCTGAGCGTCAGCCCTAGTCCCCCGCGCGGCCCCGTTTCCTCTCCAACAAGGTACAGAAAGGCTGTGGACGCCGGCGTGGGAGGAGGACGGGATCGGGGGCGGGAAGTGCCCGGAAGGAGCGAGACAGGGAGGGACAGGGCTGAGGAGAGGAAGGCGATGCGACGGACAGGCGCACCCGCTCAGGCTGACTCTCGGGGTCGAGGTCGAGCCAGGGGCGGCTGCCCTGGGGGCGAGGCGACGCCGTCTCTTCCTCCACCTCGCGGCGGGACCAGAGGACAGGAGCCTCAGGTACCGCGAGGCTTTCGGAGAGTGGCCGGTCGGGCAGGCCCTGGCTAGGCCGAGGCCGAGGCCGGGCCAGGGCCGGGGTGGGGGGTGCTGGCCGGGCGTGGTTTAGACCCGATTTCCCTGTAAAAAGGGAGGCCGTGGAGGGGGTGGGGGTGGGGGAGGAGGAAGGCTGGTGCCCTTTCGGCCCTCTGGACACTGAAATGAGGAGCCCTGCGGGGTGGGTTTGGGATCCAGGCCTCGGGCCGGGGTGTCGGGAATTAACGAGCGTGGAATGCTGGAGCGAACCAGACCTCTCCTCGCTGAGGGTTTCCTGTTTTTCTAGATGAAAGAAACTATTATGAACCAAGAGAAACTCGCCAAACTGCAGGCACAAGTGCGCATTGGTGGGAAAGTAAGTTTTCATAGTTTTGTGTGTGTAAGTGTGTGTGTAAGGTTTAGGGCTTTTTTCCCCTTTGCATTCCTAATGTCGATGGCGTGTGACTTTGTAGAGGGCATTGCACGGAACTAGCAAACCTGGGCGGGGGGGGTGGGGGGGTGGGGGGAGAGCGGCGGGTTAAATGTGATTTACAGAGTAATGTACCCGTGAATCCTGCAGGATGTATACGCCAAGGGAAAAAATGCAAGTGAGTCGAGATGAAAAACTACTTAGACTGCAAACATTGTGTGTAAACACGCTCTCCAGCGTTACAGTGTTTTTAGTGGAATAAAAGTGTTTCCTGATGTACTTAGTAAGAAGATGTGTCCTTTCAGTTGCGTATCATTGTGGCCATTGCACCTCATGCTTGTTTTGGCTTCGGTTATATACGGTGGACTTACTAGTGAGTTGGTTTCTTTTTTGTAAATTAAGGCCTTTTTTGAAAAATGCCTCCGTGGCTAATGCACTCCGGTTGCAGTCGTTGTATATTTCTAGGGCGTTTGAAGATCTTTCTTTGTCGTAAGTACATTTTGGAGTTTTAAGAGCTGTGGACTATGGATTCGAAAATATTACCTAAAGTGGGTGTCTTTGTGTTTTTACTTTGTGATTTCGCTAAAAACAGGGAATGAGAGTGTTTGGTGGGTTTTTTAATGATCCATTTTTGGTTCATTGGTTTTTCCTGGTGGATAATGAGTCCGAGGGGATTCCTTTCTGAACTTTGTAAGTGTTTAGATTGTTCTAAGTAGTTTACATAAATCAGAAGTCCACTCTAGACCGAGGTCTACCTGGTTATATTCTGCATTGTTGGCACATTCCTAGTATTTAACAAGGTGTGGTATATAGCCTGTTGGAACAGAGCATGGCTTCACTTGGTAAAACTTGTATTCACTTGTATGGTGAAAACTTCTGTACTACAGATTTATTAACTATTAGGGTTTTTTTCCCTTCGAACTTAACCTATTTACCTTCATTTAGAGTCTACTGTGAATAGCCAAATTTGCACTTAGACTTTAAGAGTCTCATGCTCTACCGACTGAGCTAGCCGGGCACTTGCACTTAGACTTTAAATAGTAAGATGTACATCTATTAATTATTGGACTTTGCCAGCAGTGTGTGTATCTTCATCCCCCCTCATCCCTCCTAGCTAGTAGTATTCAAGATCCCACACCTACCTGTTAACAACAGTAGGTATTTCTTGTTCTTTTTAGCAATGGTTGTAAGCTAGGTGTGACAGAAAAACTCATTATAATCTTTGTGGGTCAGTGTTTGGATGCTCTTAAGGTGTTTTTAACCTGAGTTATGTGCTTGTGAGAGAAATCATTCTAGGTAAAGGATGTCGGAGTTATCTAGGATTCTTAAAGCTGGTGTAGGATTAAGCTTTACTTGTTAACTACCGTGTTTCCCGAAAATAAGACATCCTCCGAAAATAAGATCTAGCGCAACTTTGGGAGAAAAAAATTAATATAAGACTCTGTCTTATTTTCGGGAAAACGGGGTAGTTAATAGAGGAAGTATTTCTGTCACTGTAATATGGAAACATTTTCTTCACCTTTTAAGAAACCTGCTTATTAAGGGATGTGAAATCAGGTGAGTGAGTTTTGCCTTAGAGAAAATTGCAAGTGTTAGATATTTCTAGGTAAGTGTTACAGTATCTGATCAGAACATTGATAATAACTTAGTTATTTCAGTGAAAAGTAAATCCTATTTATGTAAAGTGTATGAGAACAATAGAAGGTGTGCTGGTTTTGTTTTTAGAATCTTATAGTAGTTTCTTAGAATGTCTTTTAGAGAGGGTTCTTTGGGAACCAGGTTTCTACATGAATACTTTTCAAAGTAATTGTTATTTTAAAGGTTTTTTTGAGGGCCTTGGTCACCAGTATTCCATGTAATTATTGATATTTTTTTCAGTTACACTATGACTTATTTAAGTCTTTACTATGCTGGATCCTGAGAATACAAAATTTAAATAAAGTATCTAGGGGGCTTTAAGGCTAGTATGGGAGATAGACATTTTTTAAAAATATTTTTTTACATGCATGGTGCAAGAGAAGCATTGTAAAGATAGATGAGAGTGGTTTGGCTGGGTGAGGATATATTAATTGTATAGTTTAGGGAAAACATGAAAGAGATGATGGCTTATGCAGGATTTTAAAGGATCAGAATTGGTATGGAGGCTCGGGACAGTGAGGTAGGTGGGTGGTGGTAGTCTTTCCAGATGAGCTTTGTGTACAATGTAAATATGTCTTAGCCCCGTGGTCGGCAAACTGTGACTTGTGTGACACATGCAGCTCTTTGGCTCCTTGAGTGTGGCTCTTCCACAAAATACCATGGCCTGGGCGAGTCTATTTTGAAGAAGTGGCATTAGAAGAAGTTTGAGGTTTTTAAAAATTGGCTCTCAAAAGAAATTTTAATCATTGTACTGTTGATATTTGGCTCTGTTGACTGAGTTTGCCGACCACTGTCTTAGCCTATATGGGAATATATGAGTGTTATTAAATAGTTTGTAAGCAGAATATGGATGGTCACATTTGCCTGGTTTGGGAAGTTTATAGGATTTTTAGAGAAAGGGGAGATTGGATACTTGGCATGTACAAGAGACCACACATTTTCCTAAAGCCTATATTCATTCACTCATCAAGTTACTGACTACCTTCAGTGAGCCAGGTTATCGTTATTGATATTGAGTTTTATAGCAGTAAATAGAAGTCCTCAAGGAGTTTACATTCTAGTAAGGGGAGACAGACAATAAAATATACTTATCTTTATTAGTAATAAGTGTTATAAAGAGAAATAAACCGGGATAGATGGGAAATGGTGAGTGTGAGTTGTTGGGAAAGGCCACTCTGAATACGGTGACATAAGAGTGAGGATCTTGAGTGAGAGAGGGAGCCATGCAGATGCAAATTTTCATTTTGCTTACTATGGAAGTTTGTACAGACATTTGTGTCATACACTGTCTTGCCTATGAATATTAATAGATGTTACTTTTTCTTTAACGTAAAAACAAAAGGTTAGTAATTTAGGTTGACACATGCCACCTCTTTGACCACTTTGGAGCAATTAATGTAAAAAGTGGGACTTCGAAAAGATCTTTTATATCTGACAAGATTAGAATTTTAGAAATTATTAAGGATTTGTAGACAACTCCTTTCTCTCTTTTGACTTCCCTCATTGCTTTCACCTGCCTTCTCACTGCTTAAAAGTTTGTGGTTATGGTAGTTTTCTTAAACATATCCAAAGTTCATAAAGGAATTTGAACCTTTCCATTTGAAAATGTCTGTTACAGTATAAATGTGTGCTGTGTTCTTTCCTTTATCTCCACTTTAGGGAACTGCTCGTAGAAAGAAGAAGGTGGTTCACAGAACAGCTACAGCAGATGATAAAAAGCTTCAGTTCTCCTTAAAGAAGTTGGGGGTAAACAATATCTCTGGTATTGAAGAGGTAAGTGTCAAGTTCTATTTCCTTAGAAAAACAAGGTTTATCTGAAAAAAAAGTTTTTAATGTTCATACATTTGGTGGGCACTGCTAATTAAAAATATTTTCTTTTTCTTTGTAGGTAAATATGTTTACAAACCAAGGAACAGTGATCCACTTTAACAACCCTAAAGTTCAGGCATCTCTGGCAGCGAATACTTTCACCATTACCGGCCATGCTGAGACAAAGCAACTGACAGAAATGCTACCCAGCATCTTAAACCAGCTTGGTGCAGACAGTCTGACTAGTTTAAGGAGACTGGCTGAAGCTCTGCCCAAACAATGTGAGTTTTGCACAGGTTATTGATTTATCCAATAGATTTCTAAAATGTCAGGTGGAAAGTGAATGTGAATATCTTTAAATTTGGAAATGCTACCTTTTCTCCAAAAATAATCAATTTTTACCCTGATTTTAAGCAAGTACTCATAGTATATGCAATAATTTAGTATGCTGTGATTATTATACTTGTTTCCTACTAACTTTCTTGGGTTGGATAAGAGACTTTAAAATGTTACCCTTTATTAGCTGGAAATATGAAAATGTTAATTTGGTGCTCTTTTGATAACTGGCAGTTTAAAATTAATTAAATACATATTTTAAATTATCAGAATTTTCAGTTGTATTTATACAACTGATATTACCAATAATTTTTAAGAATTCGCTTGCCAGTATTCTGGTGTTTTTAATTATAGTATGATAAGGATTTTGTTCAGGGCAGAAAATCATGTAGTTGAATAATTGTACCTCAGGAGTGTGTATACTTTATGATGAAGCTCTCTGACTAAAATTTTGGAGAATAGGAATGTAGAAGCAAGTCAGGCTTATTATATGGTCTTTTAATTAGTCATCCATGTTTTTCTAGGCATTCACTCACTCTGCTTCATTCTATGTAGTTTTGTCACCTGGAAAGGCATAAGAGTTTTGTTTGTTAGTTTGTTTTAATATATTTTTATTGATTTCAGAGAGAAGTGAAGAGGGAGAGAAACGTCAGTGATGAGAGAGAATCAACAATTGGCTGCTTCCTGCATTCCCCCTACTGGGGATAGAGCCCACAACCCAGGCATGTGCCCGTTGATCAGAATTGAATCCAGGACCCTTCAGTCCACAGGCTGACACTCTATCCATTGAGCCAAACCAGCTAGGGCAAGGCATAAGAGTTTGTAGAAAGTCGTCTTAGGCTTTCAAAGCTGAAATAGGTGTTTGAAGCAGTCCACTGAACATCGTAGGGCCGGTACTGTGAGGTCCCAACTCTCAAGTGTCGTTCACTTTCTGTTTAATAAAAGGAAGCTGGATGCTTACCACTCAAAAGAAGCTTAAATTTTTTTGATCATTTTATTTTCACTTCAGTAAAGGTTTGTTGAGCATCTCCGTTATATGCCATGCACAACACAACAGAGTATTTGAGAAAACAGCCTCTTAATTTGCCTCCCCAAGTAAAGCTTACCATATTTGGTACATGGGTTTACTTGTACTCTGGGGGCTCCCCATTATTCTCATTCTCAGAGTTTGTGATGGGCCAGATTGAAAACCTAGGTATAGAATTTCGTTTGTTGGCTATTGCTAGTGTTGTAGCTCATTTTTACATATACAATATTATGTTATTGCTAGTATATAGATGAGATCCCAAATGTAATATAAACCTTTCACCTGTGCTTCTTTTGGTTAATGTTTATTGAAGACAAACAAATGTGTGAGTAATGTTTACATTTTTCCTTTCACAGCTGTGGATGGAAAAGCGCCACTTGCTACTGGAGAGGATGATGATGATGAAGTTCCAGGTAGGAACCTTCACTTGTGGTTAAACTGGGGAATTTTAGCAAGGGAGGATAAAGAATCTTTATTCTATAGGAAAGACTACCTTAAGGGAGGTGGTATAGAATAAAGAGAGGGTAAGGGAGACATGAACCTTACTCAGAATGAGAAAAATAGTGTACTGTTATTTCACTGGGAGCTATGTTTGTAGATTTGGTGTTTTTCTATTTAGGATTCCAAGAAGTTGGAGGTATATAACCATATATAACCAAAAAAATATGCATATTGTTACCAAAATGTAATAGCTACTTATAAACCACAAATGACTCTTGTTTCCTACTGTGAGATCCATAAATTTATAAGAAGGCACAGAGAAGTTATTCAGATATCTTGGGATATAACCATTCTAAAATCAGCAGAAAATCTTTGGCAATCATGAGGCATTTTTTCTATCTCAGCTGTTACTGGATATATTTTTGTGTGGTAAAACAAATATTTATTGGGAGTAGAATCACTAGATCAGAAATAATTCCACTTTGCACGGACAGGTGTCCTCGGGAATCCAGGAAGAATTATTTAGAATTGTGTGTCACAGTACTCTTTAGTTCTGCCCCCAAACTGAGTAATGTGTTATATTGCTTAAGTTTAATTCTTGGAGTGAGAATAGGGAGAATATATACATATTTAAGCACAGCCGTGGGCAAATTAATGACTTTCCCTTGTTTTAATTATGTGCCAAAACATATACTTCAAAATGTGCCAAATGAGTAGTGGTATTATTGGAAATAAAAACTTTCAAATTTATATACTGATTTAACTGTAATATATATTTTGAGAACATTTCCTTATTTCCTCTTAAGATCTATATTTGTAGATTTGGCTTTTTCTGAGTTTCTGCCTTTTTAATTTTTTTCTAGATCTTGTGGAGAATTTTGATGAGGCTTCCAAGAATGAAGCAAACTGAATTGAGTCAACTTCTGAAGAAGATAAACTTGAAGAAGTTTCTGGGAGCTGCTATTTTATATTATGACTGCTTTTTCAAATTTTGTTTATGGATCTGATAAAATCTAGATCTCTAATACTTTTTAGCCCAATGCCCCTGGACATTGCAGCTCTTTTCAGTTTTTGCTTATACATAAATCATTTTTTGCAGCTAATTAA